AAAAAAAAAACTTTAAAAAAAATGCAAGCTGCAGAAAAGGCACAGGAAAAAAAAAATGAGAAAAAAAAAAGGTACACAAAAGTATGTTTTCAAAAAAAAAAACAATAAAAAAAATAGATTGGGTATTCGTGTTTTCCCAAAAAAAAAACTCAAAAAAAAATTCTAGCCTTAAAGTAAACGTGCTAAAAAAAAAATTGGAAAAAAAAATGATCACACAGAACCCAGTCCATCTGTTATTTCTCTCCGTGTTCCTTCTCCTTGGCTAGTCTACGTCACAAAAAAAAAACATGAAAAAAAAGTCTCCCTAAACAAAGAGTGAATGAAAAAAAAAAACGTAAAAAAAAGTATATACTCAGTGTTTGGTAGCGAAAAAAAAAATTTGAAAAAAAAGACCTGATTAAAATAAGCAGCAATAAAAAAAAAAGTTGAAAAAAAAGGGAGGCGCGGGGAACCAATCAAAAAAAAAAAAAGCAGAAAAAAAATTCCTCTCCTGTTCAAAGTTGTTCAAAAAAAAAACCTGAAAAAAAAAGTCGTTAAGCGTCTGCCTTCAGCAAAAAAAAAAATCCAAAAAAAATGGGATCAAGCCCCACATCGGGCTAAAAAAAAAACGGGAAAAAAAATTCTCCCTCTCCCACTCCCCCTACAAAAAAAAAAGCTCAAAAAAAATCTGTCAAATAAATAAATAAAATTAAAAAAAAAAAAAAAAAAAAAAAAAAAAAAACACAAGGTTGTTCAGAAAAAAAAAAATGCAAAAAAAATAAAGGCCAAATTCCTGAGCTTAAAAAAAAAAAATGTCAAAAAAAAGGCTTCTGACACATTTTTCTGATTAAAAAAAAAAATCGAAAAAAAACAGTCCAGTCTGGCTTTACTCGGGAAAAAAAAAACTGTAAAAAAAATTACTTTTCCATTCGGCCTTCCTAAGTCTTGCTTCATTTAAAAATAGACTCCAAGTTGTTGTTCAATGGGAAAAAAAAAACAGTAAAAAAAAATGGAGAGTTCTGGAAGTTGGTTGAAAAAAAAAATGAAAAAAAAAAACACTGCTCAACTGGACACTTAAAAAAAAAAAAAACGGAAAAAAAATGGGTGGCTCAGTTGGTTGGGTGTAAAAAAAAAACTCAAAAAAAAATCTCAGGGTCCTGAGATCAAGGCCCGTCAGGCTCCTTGCACATCGGGGAGTCTGCTTCTCCTGCTCCCTTAAAAAAAAAACCAGAAAAAAAACTCTCTGTCAAATAAATAAATAAAAAAAAAAAAAAAAAAAAAAAAAACAGAAGCTGATTCTCCTTTTAAAAAAAAAAAAATCTAAAAAAAAAAGTCTAATAATTGGGAGACTATCCAAAAAAAAAATCCCAAAAAAAACCTAACCAGCCCTCTCTCTCCTTTAAAAAAAAAAGGCTAAAAAAAATACAACTCATGTGGCTTTCGATCTAAAAAAAAAATACAAAAAAAAAATAACTATTCATTTGTCTTCTCATAAAAAAAAAACAGTAAAAAAAAACACATTTTAAAAGCAGTCGATAAAAAAAAAAAATTAAAAAAAAAACCTCAGAACCAAAATCAAAGCGCAGAGAAAATGACAAACCACAGTAACTGCTTTCATGTTAAAAATATTTAAAAAAAAAAAAGAAAAAAAAAAAGTTGAGAAGAGAAAGGATGTTGAAAAAAAAAAATCAAAAAAAAAGCTGAAAGGACAAAGAGCTGCCTAAAAAAAAAAATGGCAAAAAAAACTGCGGAGATCGGGGTGGCCGCGGAAAAAAAAAACCAGAAAAAAAAGTCAGCCACACTCACGGGCCCCACCGGTGCGCGGTGGGCCCTGCACGGCTGCTGGCTCCCATCGTTCCTCAAAAAAAAAAAGTGAAAAAAAAGAGCTCACTCCTTAGACATGTTCTAAAAAAAAAAGTGCAAAAAAAAGGCCTTTTCCCAATCGGTCCCATTAAAAAAAAAAATGAAAAAAAAACGCACTGTGCCTTCATCCAGGCAAAAAAAAAAAATTCCAAAAAAAAGGTGACACAGAAAAAGGAAGTTCCAAAAAAAAAACGAGAAAAAAAACTGGGCTGGCTGGCAGACAAACCCAAAAAAAAAAGCATAAAAAAAAATCCACTGTTAAAGCTTACAACCCAAAAAAAAAAGCTTAAAAAAAACCTTTCCTTCCTGGCGCGTGGGGGAAAAAAAAAATAAGAAAAAAAAGCCAGGGCTGGATAGCACTCAGTAAAAAAAAAAAAGCAAAAAAAAACAAGATCCAAGCCTAGAACAACCTCTGACTAGCAGCCTGAAGAATTCACCGGACTTGTCCAGGGTTTTGAAAAAAAAAAATAAGAAAAAAAAACCTGCCCACCTTTATAGGATTTTAAAAAAAAAAAAAAAAAAAAAAGATTCTTACAGCAGGCAGGAAGACAAAAAAAAAAGGTAAAAAAAAAACACACAGGAGCTGCTAAAGAAGTAAAAAAAAAAGGGGAAAAAAAACTGGCTCAGTCCATGGAGCACGCGACTCTTGATCTCAGGGTTGTGAGTTCCAGCCCCACACTGTGTAGAGGTTGCTTTAAAAAAATTTTTTTTAGGGATGCCTGGGTGGCTCAGTGGGTTAAGCGTCTGCCTTCGGCTCAGGTCATGGTCCCAGGGTCCTGGGATCAAGTCCCACATCGGGCTCCCTGCTCCGCGGGGAGCCTGCTTCTCCCTCTCCCTCTGTCTGCTGCTCCCCCTGCTTGTGCTCTCTCTCTGACAAATAAATAAAATCTTAATAAAAAAAAAAAAAAGGAAACAAGATTCCTTGACTGCTACTTTCCACACTGCAATTGGTGTCATTCCCCACAAAAAAAAAAGTTGAAAAAAAAGAGGAGGGGCTTGGGGACTTGCATAAAAAAAAAATTAAAAAAAAAAAAAAAAATTTTTTTTCAAACAGAAAAAAAAAAAACGGCAAAAAAAACACTCCTCACTCCTGCCTCCTTCAAAAAAAAAAACATCAAAAAAAAGAAAATTCCCTCCCTTACCACCCTAAAAAAAAAATCCTAAAAAAAACCCTCAGCGTCAGCCCCCAGCGACCAGCAAATGAAGGCAGGATCTGGGTGGGTGCCCAGAGGCAATCTTCAAAAAAAAAACTGGAAAAAAAAGGTGCTGAACAGCCCTGTTCTTCTAAGACCCCCACGTGCGCGGGCCCCGCCAAGCAAGAGGCAAAGCCAGAAAAAAAAAAGCCAAAAAAAAAAATCGGCATATGAACCCGGGGCAGAAAAAAAAAACCCCAAAAAAAACCGGCACGGGCGGCCGGCCCCCTTAAAAAAAAAAAGCCAAAAAAAATGGAGCGCGGAGTATAGAAGCTCTAAAAAAAAAACCTCAAAAAAAAGGTGTGCTGAGCTTTGTGCGTGTTAAAAAAAAAAGTGGAAAAAAAATCAGCTCCCTACAGGGGGAACGGGAAAAAAAAAAGTTCAAAAAAAACAAAGAGTGTTTTTTGTTTTTGTTAAAAAAAAAACATCAAAAAAAATTAAATCTTTTAAAAGGCTCCATGAAAAAAAAAAGCCCAAAAAAAAGGCTCTCAGGGTTATGAGGAGGACAAAAAAAAAATCCCAAAAAAAAAGAGGCGTCTGGAGGACAGGGACCAAAAAAAAAAGCCCAAAAAAAAGTCAGGCCGGAGCAGGGTGGCTCGAAAAAAAAAACAGTAAAAAAAACACCGGCTGACTCAGCCTTGAGCTGTCCCAGCTCCACCGCAACACAGCGCGTCCTATCCACGTCAGGGAGAAAAAAAAAAAATGAAAAAAAACTGGGCCTCAGAGGGGAGACAGGTCACCCTAGCGACGGGCTCTTCATGTCCCCGAACAGCACTGCTCAAGAAAAAAAAAAAACTAAAAAAAATATTTGAATTCACGTACAAAGGACAAAAAAAAAAAAGAAAAAAAAACAGACGTCACGGTCACAGGGCTAAAAAAAAAAAAGGAGAAAAAAAATGGGAAACTGGGCAAAATGACAGAAAAAAAAAAAAACAAAAAAAAACTTCACCTATGAAATGATATGCACAAAAAAAAAAAGCAAAAAAAAATTTTTTTTTCACTGTCAGGTAGGTAAAAAAAAAAAAAAAAAAAAAAAACTTTGTACCGAGTATGTGGACAAAAAAAAAAACTCAAAAAAAAATCACGGGAATATAAATTGGTAAAAAAAAAAAAAATCTAAAAAAAAATAAACGTGTACACATCCTTTAACAAAAAAAAAAACCTAAAAAAAAAATTCCATATGCATCCAATGACACGTACATAGATATTCTAGCACTGTTTAAAACAAGGCTAAAGGGGCGCCAAAAAAAAAAAGTCAAAAAAAAACCCAACTCTTGGTTTCAGCTCAGAAAAAAAAAAAGGGAAAAAAAATCAAGCCCCACGTCAGGCTCCACTAAAAAAAAAAAGTCAAAAAAAAGTTCTCTCTCCCTCTCCCTCTGCCAAAAAAAAAACCCCAAAAAAAATCTCTAAAAATAAATAAATAAAATAAAAAAAAAAAAAGAAAAAAAATACTTATTTATTTGTCAGAGAGAGAAAAAAAAAACAGGAAAAAAAACAGGCTCCCCACTGAGCAGGCAGCAAAAAAAAAACCTCAAAAAAAAGACCCTGAGATCATGACATGAGCCAAAAAAAAAAGCCCAAAAAAAAGACACAGGCGCCCTAAAGAAAATCAAAAAAAAAAAAAAAAAAAAAACAGTTCTACTTCCAAATACTAATAAAAAAAAAAATCCAAAAAAAAACGTTAAGTGAAAAAGCAAGGGATAAAAAAAAAAATATAAAAAAAAATCATTTCTATTTTTTTTACCATTTAAAAAAAAAAAAAAAAAAAAAACCTTGGCCTGTATATATATATATAAAAAAAAAAATATGAAAAAAAATATATATATATACACACACACACAAAAAAAAAAATATGAAAAAAAACATATATATTTATAAAGAAATAGCAAAAAAAAAATAGTAAAAAAAAAGAGAAACTGTGTGGCTGGAGGGTAAAAAAAAAAGGTTAAAAAAAAAGTTAGACCTTCCCATCCTTCTCGTGCAGCCTGCCACCCAGCACCGCAGGACAGAACAGCCCTCAGAGCTAAAAAAAAAACGTAAAAAAAAATCTGAGTTCTCATGCCACTACCCAAAAAAAAAAAAAAGAAAAAAAACTAAGTGGTCCTAAACCACCCAGAGTCATCCGATAGGACACTTTCCCCCAAGAAATGATCGGGGGCAGTGAAAAAAAAAAGGCTAAAAAAAACTTCACCTTGTTCATCACTGGAGGAAAAAAAAAAACATAAAAAAAATCATCCGCACAGTATTCCGTGCACAAAAAAAAAAGACTAAAAAAAACACGGCCTGTCACCGTCACACTGCAAAAAAAAAAACCTAAAAAAAAACTTCTGTTTTCTTGCCCCATCGGAAAAAAAAAATGACAAAAAAAATGGCCAGTCTAATAGTTGCTTTTCAAAAAAAAAAGATTAAAAAAAAGTTCCTCTTAACCTGACCTCTTGGTACCAGTCCTTCCATTTTGAAACAGGGGTCTCTGAGGACAGCACACAAAAAAAAAATTCCAAAAAAAAAGGCCCCTCTGTTCAACCCTCTGTAAAAAAAAAAGAGCAAAAAAAATCTGGCCTCGGCCCTCTCCTGTCAAAAAAAAAAACAGCAAAAAAAAGGCCACACCCAGCCTCTCAGCTCTAAAAAAAAAAGAGCAAAAAAAACCGGAAGCGGAAGCAGCAGATGTGAAAAAAAAAAACGCAAAAAAAACGCACCCAGCAGCCACGGCCCATCAAAAAAAAAATGACAAAAAAAAACATCTCATCTCAACTTTTCCGAGAAAAAAAAAACGATAAAAAAAATGCCTCTGAAACGGGGGTTCTCAGAAAAAAAAAACAGGAAAAAAAACATCACCGTCACCGGCGACCTCATAAAAAAAAAAGATCAAAAAAAACCGCTCCCAGACCAAGAGAATTGGAAAAAAAAAACAGCAAAAAAAATAACATGCCCTCCACGTGATCGTGAAAAAAAAAAAGTCAAAAAAAAACTACTCTGAAATAAATCTCAAATAAAAAAAAAATTTCAAAAAAAATGACCGCCACCCAAGCCCGTGTTTAAAAAAAAAATCGCAAAAAAAACCCAGCAACCTCCTAGCTGCCTCCCCGTCGCAGCGGCTACCTCCCCACACAGTCCATTCCCCACCCAGCAAAAAAAAAAAGCTTAAAAAAAACTGAAGCAGGCCTGTCACTACCCTAAAAAAAAAACTCCAAAAAAAACACACTGCCAAAGAATAAAAGCTGAAAAAAAAAACCTGAAAAAAAAAGTTAAGCCTCCAGCTCAGGTCTGAAAAAAAAAAGGAGAAAAAAAATCTCCCTCTGCCCCCCCCCCCCGCAAAAAAAAAATTTTAAAAAAAACTCTCTAATAAATAAATAAAACT